ACCTATTTATATTTTTCGAACATCATATTCTTCCTATAGTCATGATAGATTTGTGGAAGTAAATTCGGTCTACAAGCAGTAGACAGTGAGGACAAGTCATGAGACTGTCCACGTGGGACTAAGGTCTTATTATAGAAAAACTAAATAAGTGGAAAGAAAATTATTTTATTCACGTATGAAACAGTAGATTATAGTAAGAAAGTAGAATATAGAGTACTGATCACTAAAGAATGTGATGAAATTGTACTATATCCTTCCTATAAGATTCTGATAAGAGTCCTATAGGAATCTTATATAAGATTTGATCTCTAGGGTAGTGTCAAGACGTACTGGGTGGCGCTAGATTTGTTAACAAGTAATTATTTGTGCAACGATGCCGTTCTTCAATTCCAGACGTCCTTTCTCTGAAATAATAAAAAGCGCAGATCAAGTTTCTTGAGAGATTTCAAAAGCTTGTTCATCAAAAAAGCCCGTAGAATCAGACACTCCGTAGTCGATTGCTGTGTACACAACAAAGTTTTGTGTAGATGTACGATTCGAAATGTTTTCCCTATTTTATGTATAAAATTTCTTGATAATGCCGGTATAAAGACCGACATCGAAAATCGTTACGAGAAAGTTGTCGGTAGCAATAAAGAGTAGAACGGAAAATTCTTTCGTGTTATCGTCGAATTTGAAGATGTACTCCCTTTCTTTCAGGCATTCTAGACGTACTCCAAAACTGATAAACGAAGCGCTGTGCTTATATTAATGCATTGTTCTGCCACTATCGAAAATAGAGCAAAGACCTCTATTTCGATTAGCTGACACAGCGGACCTATCACAGACAGTTTTCCGTTCTGTTTAACATTTTATTTTCTATTTTCATTTTTATGTACTCGTTCTTCAGTAGACATCTAACATACGTATGTATATCATATCACATCTTTTATTTTATCCGGATATATTTAGTCATCGATATAGCAAAAATTCATCGTTCTAAACGGTTGTCCACGTGTACAGTCAAAAGTCGAACAGAAGTATAAAAATTCTTAGCTTTACACGAAGATAAGTCATCCTTTGTGAATAACCGTCCAGAATAATGAATTTTTGCTGTATCGATGACTAAATAAATCAAGACATATCACCAGAAATCCAAATTAAAAATGGCGTTACGCGGCGGGGGGAGCCCCCGGACTCTATTCGTTTTTTAAATTTGCGAAGTCCGGTGATATGAGACGCGACATACGCTAGACGTCTAGTGTATCTCTTAATCTGAATATCATTGCGTCGTGAGTGGAATGAAATCTAATTGATAATATCGATCTAAAGCGTGAAAAAGGGTTGTTTTTACTTAATAAAGTTTTATAAGTCAGTCTTTATTTGTATAATATATGACTTCTTTTTTCAGATTTTCTGGTATAGTCTATTTATTACATAAGCTGATAACATAAGTAGGTATTTAATAAAAATATTCATTCACACATATGGCATTAGATACAGTGTTCTATCATTAGACATCAGCTCTTCTTAGGAGTGGGACTTTATTAGTTACTCGGCGTTACTTCACCAGATAAAGTAACGAAGTTAGTTACTAGTAACGAATAACTAACTTCGTTACTAGTTACAAGTAAAGTAAAAGTAAAGTGCCGCCCCTAGCTCTTCTTATTACCAAATTGAGAATGCAGGCCATGCTCTAGACGTCTGATTCTACCTATGAATTTCGTCTATAGATGGCAATTGCCTTCGTGGGATGGACCGTCTGGCTGTAACACCCAGCTACGTTCTCAATTAAGGCGGCGTCTGGCCGCCGTCATCTAGTCCAAAAATGAGACGTTCATTAGTCCATTTCCATGTACTTGACGCGTACCGCTGAATGCTCGTCTGTTTTGAATAACCAGTCGGCTGTCTTGAAGGGTCCTTTTGTGATGAGATGCTTTACAGAAAAAGTAGCAACTTGCAGCACAAGGCGGACGTTCGGACTATCTTCTAAATGTTTCCTTTTTTGCGGGGTGCGGACGCCGTCATCCAGTCTCAGAGTGAGACTTCGATAGCCCGTCTGAGACCTTGCATGGGCGTCCTAGAGCTCAAACAGATTACAGTTTTTACCCATCTTTTGTTAACCTGGTCAGATTGCAGCCCATTGTGGAAGTGGTGCAAGAGCATGTTCTTCTTGCTCCATCCTGTGTCGAATCTTGTTTTTGCTGTTTCCCTCTGGTCTCGTGCCTCATATTTGCACAAAAGGCATTGTAAAATAACATAATTTGTGGTATTTTCTCTTTTCTTTGCCTTGTTCTTATCTTGACTCTATTTTGCGCCACTCATCAAAACTCCGTCATTTTTTAGTCAGTCACAATGCAGATGGCCTTTCAAAGACTAGCATGTATACCGCTGTTTCAACGTTTGCTCGTTCCAGTCGTCATGCGATCGACAGTCTGTGATATGACAACTAAAATGAAGCAATCGTCAGGCAAACCCGAGGGTGATATCTCCTCCGTCTTTGCTTCTCTCTCGGGTGACGACGCTGATAAACCTCTCGAACCTCGATTTGCTCAACTGAAGGCGCAAATCATCCGCGGTCACGAGCAGCAAGTCAAAGACAGTTGGTACCGTCTACTCGATGCTTTGAAACGCGAAATTGCTACCATCCGCTCATCGGATCAAGCCGTCATTCCTCAAGTCAACTTCAGCGATATGAAGAATCTTTCGTCCGATGTGCTCAACGAAATTCGAACTCGCGGTGTCATGGTCATTCGAGGTGTTTTACCTGAGGCCCATGCAGTGAAACTGAAAAGAGATGTTGAAGAGTATATCAGACAGAATCCACATACCAAAGCCTTTCCCAAGGATAAACCAGCCGTCTACGAACTGTACTGGTCACCCTCACAGATTCATGCTCGCGCCAATCCTCGAGTTCACGAGGCGTTAGCTTTTGCCAATTCGTTCTGGCATGCGTCACCCTCGACTCTTATTGGGTTGAAAGAGAACATCATGTATGCAGATCGTCTGCGAATTCGTCAACCTGGTGATGCTCAATTCGTTCTTGGCCCACACGTGGACGGGGGCAGCATCGAACGATGGGAAGATCCCGAGTATCGATCATGCTACACGCCTATTTTTGAAGGTCGGTGGGAGGAGAGCGACTTTTTTGATGCCACTCACCGTGTCGGCGCGCAAATGTCCCTCTACAATGCAGCAGGTGGTTGTACTACCTTCCGTTCTTGGCAAGGTTGGCTCAGCGCCTCGACTGTTAGCCCGGGTGAAGGTGGGCTTTTGGTGAATCCACTCTTGAAGTTTGCAACGTCCTACTGGCTTCTTCGACCTTTTCTCACGCAAGTCGAAAAGGAAGGCGACTGGCAAATCGATACATCGAGTATCTGGCAAGGAGCCATCCCTGGTCGCGGCCAAGAAATGAACGACTCGTGGCATCCCGGACTGGAACTATCGACCTCAATGGTTTCCATTCCCAAGGTGCGCCCAGGCGACATGGTTTTTTGGCACTGTGACACTATACATGCTGTCGACAGTGTTCATCGCGGTCAAACGGACTCGAGCGTTTTCTATATTCCAGCAGCGCCCTTCTGTGAAATCAACGTTGAGTATCTTGCCCGGCAGCGCGATGCCTTCGTACACGGCATCCCGCCACCGGACTTTCCCGGTGGCGAAGGCGAATCGCATCATGTCGGACGGGCGGTCCCTGAAGATGTCAAGAAGGCCGGCGGTGGACGCGCCATGGGTTTTGAGGCGTTCAAGATCAAATCGGACATGACACCAGGCGAAAAGAAAATGATCTTAAAAGCCAACACAATTTTAAACTTGTAAACTTTGTGGAAGCGGTAAAACGGGTGTACATAGTTGTTAAAATGTAATGTTTTCAATAGATGAAGTTATTAATTCAAGATATAATATCAAGATAGGCGGCGGAACGTTTTTAGGTGCTTTGGCAAGCCCGAGCCTTGCCTCGCCCAAAGTTTCCGCCTCCTCTGGTTGAAGCCGAGAATTGCTAAAAAAAAGGAGAAAACACCGTGATGTTGAAATTGTAATGTTAAATCATTAGTTGTTTTCCTTTAGGAAACTTTTTTAAAAGTACATCAACTTTCTACGAGTCGGCACTTTCAAAACTAGTAGAACCGATCACGGTGATCACAAAAAACATCTTAATTTAAGTTAATTTTTTAAGGTTTTACAAATACTACACACCAATACGAACATCTTTTGTAGCAAAACCATTTTTCCCCATTGTTCTGATTTTCTAAGAAAAATTGTACAAAAACAAGATTTTTGTTTTTTTTCCCATTCATATATCCCTATGAAGACAAAATGAAAACTTAGCATCAATGTATGACTGAGAATTCTCAGTCTCGTATCTCTCTAATGATGAATACCACGGGACTTCAGCTGCTTTCTAGACTGAATAGTAGAGCAAATACCGACCACTAGTTTTCAGTTTTCACCAAGTACCGCTCCTTTCCGCTGGTGCACTGCAAATTCTGCAGACTGTCTCCATACCCAATGTTGATCTATATAGTGAGTACTTCAAAATCCTGATACATTTATTTTTGGTTGATGCTTTATTTCTGAGAAAATTGATCTCAAAGTTCAGATTTTTCAGAAACCGGCTTTTCTAGAAATCCGAACGACCGTGAACTTCATTCCGGAAGTTTTTCAAGTACTTCATTGAATAGCCACTATACTGACAGACTATTCAACCGCCGCAAAATGAGATGTCAACCAAGTTTCTGTTAAAAAAATATCGCAGAAAATACGATGCGGATCGGAAATTCAAAAATTCAAATTAAAGCGAAAGTTTTTGAAGATTGAATGGGAGTAAACTCATTAGCTTTATTGCCCAGTATCGTCGAAACTGGCTAATATGTCTATGAACAGTTCTAAGACTACTGTCTATGAACAGTTCAAGATTTAATTCAGCCTTATGGACAGCAAGAAAAATTAGCTAGTCTTTCAAAACAAACAGAAAAGGCAAAAGAAAGTTATCGAATAGCTAAACAACTATGTCTTTTACTACAAAATTATAACTGATGAACTTTTGTGTTGAAAAAATAAATGTATTTTTAACTTGTATCTATCTTTTACTCTTATGCTTTTCTCATAACA